AAAGAACGTATAATGTATGTAGTATTTATTAAATTATTTATTTATATATATATTTATTGCTGTAGTCTTAACAATGCTATACATGGCATTTGACTTTCTACTTCTTCTGCACTGGTAATAATATTTTATGGCAGTAATTCTGAATTATGCACATTCCAATAGATTGTAAATAAAAGTGACCACGTGGAGGATTCACTAGCACCATGGACAGCTCCAGTGCAGCACAACTGTTCTGCTCAGACTTTACATGAGCACATTTCATTACATTGTTTTCTTTTTGTTATTTACTTCTTATGTTTCAAATGTAATACACAAGCAAAAATAATAATACAAAAATAGAGAGATATTTTAAGTTGTTTAATCCCCAGCTAAAGTAGAGCTCCTGACCAAGCCTAGGTCAAGATCTGGAGATGGGGACAGATTTAACCTTAACGTTATTTAAAATGAAAGTTGTTAAAACGTGACAGTGTTATGAAGAAAATGCTGTGATTTCGAAGTGCTACAGCAGTGGCAAAAACTGTTGTTGTGTCCTTGGCCAAAATGCTTCACCCACATTGCGTAGTAAAAGAGCAGCGTGTTTGTGAGTGTTGGTGGTGGCACAGATTTCCAGCCTCACCTCCATCTGTCTGCCCTAGGGCAAATTATAAAACAACTCTGAGCATCTGGGAAAATGTTGTATAAAACTAATGTATTATTATTATTAATCTTAAGCCAAAGCGTAGTTCTGTCCTGTGTAGTTTGAATCAGTAAAAACAGTAGATCAATAATAGAGCTTGTATGATTTATTATAATAAACTACAATACAATACAAACATTTGATGAACAGCAGACTGAGGTCCACTGCTGCTCTCTCTTCTGTCTTAGTTCATCCTCTTGTGAAGTGGCTGTTTTGTTTCTCTTTTTCCTCCTCCGGCAGACGCTCCCACTGCAGAGAAAACGAGAGAGACTTTAATAATATTGTACGAAATACTTCTCGCCCAAGTTCCTCTTGTGGAGCTCACTCTTTAGCTTCTCCCACTGCTGTTGTTTAAATAGCGAGAAGGCTGTGGCGGCCCCAGTGACAGGAGCAGGGAGTCTGGGGGACCTCTGAGGCTGGTGAGTCTGAGTTTCAGAAGAGGACATACTCTGGAGGAAGATCCTTTCTTTTTTTGCAGCCTGAACATTATATTGGGCTTTTTTCTTTTCAGGCAAACGCTCCCACTGCAGAGAAAACAAGAGAGAGACTTTAATAATACTGTACGAAATACTTCTTGCCCGAGTAAGAAATAATTTTATATCAGTATGTTTATATGAAGAACATAGAAAAGACTTGTTTCAGACTTACTCTTTTTTGCAGCACGGCGTTCAGCACCATTGAGTTCCCCTTGTGGAGCTCAGATTTTACCTTCTCCCACTGCTGTTGTTTAAACAGCGAGAAGGCTGTGGCAGCCCTGTGACAGGAGTAGGGCCGTCGTTGGAGGCAGGGGGAGGGCGCTTGGAGCCAGGAGCTCCACCCACATTAGCACCACCCACAGGAGCAAGGGGTGAAACAACTGGGGACTGTAGAGGGACCCGCAGAGATAGGGGCCGCAGACATGGGAGTGGGGTCTGCAGGCACAGGAGACGGGTCCGGACGCTTTGACTCAGGACCCTTGTCTTCAGTCAGACTGGACTGGGGAGAAAGGTGCTGATACAAAGATCTGGGGTTCTCCAAAAGAGTGTCAGAGGCCTCACACATGAACTCAAAGGCCTGAAATGTGAAATCAGGAGTCTCAAATACTGAAACATGAGGGTCAGACACAGGACTGGTGGATGCTGACAAAGGATTAGGGTCCATGGGCACAGGAGCGGGGGACTTCCGTTTGGGCTCAGGACCCTCGTCGTCAGAGAGACTGCGTTTTCTCTTTGGAGAACTGTAGTCCAACAGGGTGGGCTGTGGAGTAAGGGCCTCAAACACAGCTCCTCCAAAATAGTCTGGGAGATCCAAAGGCTCTAGTCCCTGTTCAAAATGAACACATGAACAAATTGAGTTAGTACTTAAGCTATTATTATAGTTTTTCTGAAATCTCAGCAAATGAAATTCATTCAAACATCTGAACCATTTTTAAGCACAGTTCTTACCTGGACGAGTCTTGGATGTAGCCTCACTTGGCTGGAGAAACCAACCGTTTGAGCGTCTGGGTTTAATCTTGCCTCTTCGTCCACATAATCAAATGTGTCCTCAGTGGTAGGCCCGTAACACCCCATGTCCCTGAACCAACTGGCCTGTTGGGTAGGAGGTGAGAAGACCTGAGATGGGAGATGATCTTCGTCCACCTCGGGCTGGGCCAAAGGGACCTGGACATATTCCTGTACAGGGTTTGGCTCTGCAGGACATGGGGTGTCGAAGTCCTGGTCCACCTGGGCCTTGAGGATGTCCACCATGTCCAGCCAGTCGTCCCACTCGGTGACGGACTCGGTGTGGGCCATTTCGGGAATAAGTTCATACTCTCGCTGGGCGCTCAGGAGAGAAATGATTGCTACCCTCATGCTGAATGAATCCATTTTGGATATTTTGAGTGGATCAGAAATGGATCTGCAATGGAGGCAAATGGATTTTAGTACAGTAGTACTACTCAAATGAGCTAGTTACTATTTATCACACTTTAAACACATTTTGTGCTTCCAAAACCAATGTAAAAAGAATACCCACCTGTCGTACTCAAAAATACCTTGGTGAAATTGACAAGTTTTGGGCATGTTTTCAGGTAACTCTGTGTGAAGTCGGGAGTTCACTGAAAAGTTATTGAATATTGTTTAAACCAGTGGAAACATAAATCAACCGTCAGTGACTCTCGTACTGCCATTTGAGAACTTTAATCTTACACTATTTCCACATATTCTCCATTAATTGAGCCTGCTTGTCTGCTTAAATGTTAAAAATAAATATATTTTATAAATATTTAAACATGTATAATACGATAATATGAATACTGAAGTGAAAGACTCTGTGTGGACTGATATGGGTCCAAGGGCTGTAGGTGAAATCCCAGTAGTTGTATGTTTGTACTATAACAGTGTTTCCCAAAGCTTTTTTCTAAGGACTGATATTTAAAAACTCACAAACCTTTGCCACCCAAATCAATAGACATTATTCATAAAATCACAAAATAAAGGTGCATTTGACCATTATTGAACATTAATGAGGATATTTTATTGTTGACTGAATGATCGTGTCTCTCCGAACAATTATATTACTCAAGTTTTAAACAATGAAAAACAGAAATTGAAGCAGCAATAAAAGGATCCATAAGTCGCTTATTCAGACATTAAATGTAGCACATTTGTTTTTCTTTTCAACATTCAATTAAACCAGCAATACTGGAACAAAATAGTCAATAAAATAATTACAAAAAGATTAGAAACTAGAAAAGCACTCAGAGAGCGCAGACCTCCGCCAAGGACTACCCCCATTTTTTATATAAATTGCGATAAAATCAGTCTTCTGGATCAGATCCGGATCAGCCTTTGGAATATGAAAGAGGATCCCATTGTCCATCCCTGAGTCAAATTTCATGGGGTTTGGTCAATAATTAACCGAGATATTGAGAAACAAATTTTTTGGCCCCATTTACCACAATGTTAACTAAAATTTCAAAGTGATCCAGAATCCAGGATTTCTTCCGGATCACCCCCAAAATGAAATCAGTTCTTCCTTTTCACATTTCCAACAAATCCTGAAAATTTCATCAAAATCGGTCCATAACTTTTTGAGTTATGTTGCTAACAGACAAACAAACAAACAAACAAACAGACAAACGCCGGCAAAAACATAACCTCCTTGGCGGAGGTAATTATACAAAACATATTTTAACATTTCAACATTTCCATTGAGATAGGTGGACCTGTCTGTGTTTTTGTAGCGTGTTCCAGTCCAGGGTGCAGGAGGAGAGTGCAACAGCAGACCTACATGCAGATTGTGACAAGGCGACCCCCAAAAAATCTTTTGCAACCCACCTAAGGGTCACGACCCAGTCTTTGGGAAACAATGTACTATAATATGTATGTAGGTACGTGCAAATACATAGATACTTTTTTTACTTTACTACATTTGAGAGCAGGTATCTGTACTTTCTACTTCACAAAATTTTTGAACTGGACTGAAAAGTAAAAGTATTTGTAGTTTAATCAAACAATAAATAAACAAACAAACAAATAAAATAAATAAATAAAATAATATAAACAAATGTATTAAAAACTTATACAGAACATAACATGACTTCAATTGTTTCTACTGAAGAAAAATCTTTATCAAAATCATTACATCTGAAGCTTTATTAGATCTCAGATTAGATACAAATTACTTTTACTCTTTACTCTTTAACTACATTTTTAAACGGGTACTTTAACATTTTTACTTAAGCCGACATTTTCATGTTGTATTCTTACTTTGACTTGAGTACATCTTTGCGCTGGTATCTGTACGTAAGTAACAAAATTTAGTTTTTCTTTCAGCACTGGTATTTATTATGAATTATCAGTGCCATAATTATCTTGACTTTGAGTAAATATATTTAGCTATAACTTCAAAACATCGCGTGATTCCAGGTAGTTTCGTGAAAAAATACACACCTTGCAAATGATTGTTGTTAATGTCCTACGCTCTTATTGTGAAAATACAAGACAGGAAGCAGTTTGCCATGACATCTTTCTCTTGACACCAATCACAGGACCGTCTTTAGTTACTGCTTCAATCCAACTCCGCGCGGGGAAAGCCATAATTACAGTGATGCCCGTGCGCTCCGTGTCACTTTTACGCACAAATTACGCATTCGGAATGGAGTAATTTTGACTTTTTTGCACACACTTCAATGTTGATGTCGGACTTTTCAGGTTTATTTTGACAGATCATCATGTTTGAGAGGAGGATGCGAGTCTGGTGCCTGTCTCGTTTTGGATATTTAGACAGAAAAGTTCCAGTATGAGCTTGAAGGAGCTGTAACACGGATGTGAATGAGGGATTGGACTCTGGAGGGAGGACCATGGCGCCACACAAGGGACTGTTGTCTCCGCTGCTTTACTTTGTCACACACTTCTGCCTCGGTTCGGCGCAAGTGCTCAGAATCGGTGAGTGCTCCGATGAGACGCTAAAGAAAGACGCCTGAAGTAAACGAAAATATCACCTCATATGTAGGCCACACTTTGGTCAAACCATTCCACTGTAGACCCACATCTGCAAACTGGGTTATAACTTCCAATTCAAACTCTTACATTGATCTAGTTTATTTTGTGCTCACGCCAAATCTGATTTAAAGACTGAGACCCACATGATTCATTGAAAATAAATAAATAAATAAATAAAATAAACAAAAATGAAAGGAAAGAAAGAAAAAAGATGCCAGAACATTAGAAAGTTCCATCAAATTATCTATCAAAAATACCTATTGCATTAAAACTGCTGTCATCTCTTTAACATTAAAGCAAAGAAAATAAGAATGCATTTAAAGAAAATTAAAGCCCCAGTATGTAACTTTCTACCAAAAAGTGGACTAAAATAAAAACATTTTCATTATGGATGTGTTTATTGCACTGAAAAACACAGAAAAACATGTCTTTACTCTGAGCAAGCTTGCATCTCCACAAACCTGACACTTATTTGGCATGGATGAGGGCCTCCTCCTGCTTGTTTCTATGGAAATGTTGTTCCTTTGGCTATAATATTCCACAGTAAGGCATACAACATGTTTATCTCCATGTAGAATGTTCCAAAGTATGGTTTTAAACTATTTCTATGAGATCTTATAGATGATGTGCCACCTCCAGAAAGTTACATACTGTATCTTTATGAATTATAAAATCAATCAATCAATCATATCAATCAGTATTTCTTACTGCTTTTAGCACTCTTCATGGATCTTGGTCTTGACTCTATAGATGCCCCTGGTTTTTTGCTTTTAATAATCTAATAATAATATTTTTCTTCACTCATTTGAATAGGTATTGGAAAAAAGTCAAATTCACAGGACACAAATGAACCTTTCCTGAATAGTTTTAGAATGATCGTGAACTGTATCAGAACAAGTATAAGAGCACATGGTCCACTGTGGAACCTACCTGGACCACAGATATATTGATGATATAACACACACACACACACACAGGCACACTGATATAAGGCCACATGGTAATATGAAAGAGTACTAAAAAGTACTACTTAATGTTGAAAATCACATTCTATTTTCTAAAGAAAGTGTTTTTCATTGTATTAAGTATTGAGTATTGAGTCTATTCCTTAGAATTGAAAGAGAGTTTGAAATGTATCATGGCAACTCGTCTAGAGTTATGAAAGCCAAAGTGCTTCTGCCTCTTTGTTCTTCCTTAGATTTCTGATGTAACCAGGACCAAAGTGTGAGGGGGAGAGTTTGTCTTTTTTGTTGCAAATTAATGAAGTGCTTCTCGTTCTCATTGAGTTGCATCACACATGTTGAAATATTGGCCTCTGGTGTGCAGTGCCACAGGCTGCACTCCTCGCTGTGTCTGCAGAGAACCCACGGCTATAGGACTACAGGCATTATGAGCTTCTCAAACTCAGACGGGCTTTGGCAGAAGGCTGCAACAGCATCTATGAAATCTGTATACTGAGTATTAGTTTTATTTTTAGGACTGGGAACTGCTATCCCTGTAGAACATATTTCTAGTGATATTGAGTTTGAAGATTTGATTCTTGGTGGGTTCTCAGGCACGGCTACAGAAATTTAGTCCTCAATTCATGAACATTAGTTTTCTTTTGCAAACTTACCTTGGCCTTCACTCTTGTTTTCAAAACTAAATACTATATGTTGCTCAGTATACTTTACCGGTCAAAAGTTTTAGAACACCACACTTTTTCCATTTTTTACTGTTTACTGTTGACCAAAATGTATTCTGAACTTTTGATTCATGAAAGTGTCCACCTTTGGCAGATATAACAGCTGAACACACTCGTGGCTCGTTCTTTTTGCAATAGAAATCAAATATTCTTCAGAAAGTTCTTCCCAATTCTGTTGCAGAAGTTCCCATAAATGTGTGGCACTTGTAGGTTCCTTGACTTTCACTCTTCTGTCCAGTTCATCCCAAACAAGCTCGATGGGGTTTAAGTCTGGAGACTGTGCTGGACACTCCATGTTTTCAAGTTCACTGTCTTGTTCTTTTTTCCTGAGGTAGTTTTGGCAGAGCTTGGACTTGTGTTTTGTTATTTTTTATCTTATTTTTAACCTCTGTCTGCTCAGTTCTTACCTTTGTACCATTTCAAGCTTTTCATTGGACTTGCACGATTTGAACTGCAATAAAAAAACTGGAAGAACTAGGTTTATATTTATATGCCTCATGTTAAAGCTCAGATCCTCCAGAATTCCCTCACTGAGCTGTAGAGGCTGCACTAGCACTGATTCATGGTTGGCTGTAGGTGCTGGGGTTTAGGTCGTGACTATTCACATCAGAGAGAGACATTTTAGGTTTAAACCAACTGGACTTGGCTTTCTGATTGGATAATCGTCTTGAGTACCTTGATGCTTTTTACAATCAACAATAATTATTATCAGTAAAAGTCATATTTCTTGCACTGAATTTGACATTTCTACAAACCCTCCCTTTGAAACACTTTATATTGTAATTTTCTGTAATATTTATTATGGGGAGATGTAAATTAGAAAACAAACACTGATATTTTCTTTCTTTTTCTTTATTCAAACACATGCACATCTTGTCTAAACCCAGTGATTGTGTCCATTGTTAATCTGTGTAAATGATCTATGGGTGACCTCGTAATCCCCGTGATAGTCTGAGCGTTATAATCGGGCCCATATGGTGAGCCTCATTACCACTGCCCCGTCCGATTGTCCGCTGCACACCACTCTCCCTGTCTCTCTCCGTCTCTCTCTTTGAGTTCTGTAATGATACTCGACCGATGGCGACTCTCACTAATCTCTTCTTTCTTCTGCACAAGCAAACATGGCGACTATTTACAGCAGTGAAGAGCATAAAAAACAAACTGGAGGTAGTGCGAGGTTAAGAAATGCTTTATTGAAATTCATGCATCTCCCAGTCTTGAGTTTGTCTTGGTCAGGATTACTTTAGCTGGAGGATTTGATGGTGCATGTTTTGGGTTGATTTGGGAAACTGGAGTGCTCAGAGGAAACCATGGACACGGATAACTCGCTAGTTGCCGCGTTCCAAGTTCAAAGTGAGCATGGGTGAGGTTAAATGTTTGTATTAACCCGCTCTTCATGATCCTGGAGGTTTTATTTCGCTGTTTTGCCTATAAAATTAAGATAAGAGCTTAAATAACAGACAAATCAGGCACCTTCTTTCCCTGAGGTTGCTCAAATAAATATCAAATTCACGTCCAAATGTGTAGTTTTATGTAGGTTCAATAATTTCTCATGTCGTCAGCGCACCAGTGAAGGGAGATACAGTAGTGTCTTCGCTCTGAGGAACACTGTAACACTATAATCTGTTAACTTGGCCCATCCAGTCAATCTCCAATCCAGAATCTTAAACATCACAATGAATGCTGCAGGTTTGTCTTTTTTCCATGTACTAAAGTAAGATTTACTCACCCCAGTACAGATATATTGTAAAAGCAGCACTTAGGGTCAAATTAAGACTGCTGTGCATTATAGGACAATGGTGATGGTGATGATGTTGATCCTATGATTCACTTTTACTGCTGCTCCATGCTCAAACAGTCACAAAATAAACTGTTGAAAACTACTGCTTGACATCACAATGTGGAACAGAGCATTTTGAGTTTTAGACATGTAGACAGATGCAGGGTTACTCAAACATGTGTGAATGAAACAAAAGACAACTCCAGTTCTGTTTTTGATGAGGTAACAGCATTATAACATGACCTGAAGCTCCCAAGAGTCAATTTGATTTGTAAGGTATGCTTTACTGATTCACTCATTTTATTTGACCCATCCTTCACCTAGTTCCACTGGGGAAACTGTCAGGAGCAGTGTCTCCTGCCATACAGCACCCAGGGGCCCATCTCTAGATCTTGATCTAGTCCTGGTCAGGACTACTTTAGCTGGAGGATTTGACCTGTTGTGCATGTTTTGGGGTAAGGGGGAAACAGTCCTGCCTGGAGGAAACCTTCTCAGACACAGGGAAAACATACAAAGTTCAACCCAGGGGTCGAACCAGGAAACTTCTTGTGATACAAGTGCTAAGTTCTAGCCACTCCATCTATTACCAGGATGCCAAAAGTGAAAAATTACAGCTGGACAAGTTTTGTTTTTCCTGTTTTTGAAACAGGGAAACTGACAGGTCTAACTGACCTACACTATCTGTCAAAACTTTAGACTTCGGCAAAGAGAAATTCAATTTGTCAACTGGACAAACATTTATTTAGTTCAAAAACTTTTTGCAGCTCATCCAAGCTGCTTCTTCAGTTCTGGTCGGAACGACGATTTTACAAACTTATACTTAATTTTTTTCCTTTCTGTTTTCTACTTCACTATTAATCATGGAAGTAAAGTAAATGAAAAAGTAGTGTTAGTGCATGTTTTAAAGGGCTCACATTACTCTTTCTGATCTGGTCTCTCAGGGGTCACTATAGGTCAGTTTCAGTCTTATCACAATCTTCTACTTCAGAAAGACAGTACTTCACTGTAATTGGCTGAAGCCCCTGTCCACTCCCTGTGGCAGGTGAGTGAGTGTGATGGAGACGGACCAATCAGAGGAGAGCGTGAGAGGGCGGCTTCCTGCTTTATCAGTATTTAGAGCAGTCGTCATGTGGGCTGAATGTTTTGGTGTCAGAGGCCAGAACAGAGGAGGCTCAGTCCTGCACATCAAACACATCGTGGTCTGGACTCAGACAGGAGCTGGACGAGAGAGAGAGGAGGAGGAGGAGAGATGAGAGAGGAGGAGGAAAGATGGGAGATTGGGATAAGAGAAGTGAGGCCAAAAGGGAAAAGAGAGGGAGAAAGAAGAGAGATGAGAGAAAGGGAAAGAGGAGAGTTAGGGCCAAATAAAAAGCGGGAGAGAGATGAGGAGGGTAGACGGAGAGAGAGAAAGAGGAGTGGGAGAGAGATGAAGAGGAGAGAAATGAGAGAGGGGAGATAAGAAAAGAGGAGGGAGAGTGA